GAGTTGGACATTTCATTCCCCAGCTCAGTGCCTACATGGCTGGAAGCAAAGTCTGGAGCTGGGAATCAATCCAGACCCCCATGTGGGTGGCTGGGCCTCAGTGCGTTAGGCCATCGCTCTTCATTAGCGATGGATGGCTCTACATTAGCAGGAAGCTGAATCAGGAATTGGAGCCAAGAATTGAACCCAAATAGCCTGATATAGGACATGGGCATCTAAACCGGAGTCTTACCTGCCAAATTCCTCCCCAAACCCTACACAGACAAGTCTTAACTGCCAAACCACCCCTACCCCCGCCGACCCCAACACAGACCCCAACACACACCCCATCAGCACCAAGTTTCTTAACTACTGTAAGGTTAACTGAAAATGTAGAGTGTCATTCAGAAGCACAAAAAACCTTAGGCCTCTTTGCTGTCTTCCTTCCTCATATTCACTTTCTGGTTTATGAGACAATTGTGTTATGAAGCAAATTAGTGTTTATAATAGAATATTTGGATATAGGAAAGAGCACAAACATTGAAAACAAAGGTGCCCATTTCTTTTCTCTCTGCTAGAATAATTCCCTTTTATTCTGGCACTTGCATTTTCAGACTTTTCCTAAATGTTTTTATGCCTGTTTTGTACTTTTAAAATTGAGAAGCAGAACTGTGTTGGTGAAGCCAATGATGAAAGATGCACTGAATGAATACTTTTGCCATTGAAAACTAACTCATAAATCTACAAGGTGGGTTGTGGTGTGTTCATACAACAGAATCATATTAACGTAGCAGTTGAAGAGAAGCAAACATACCTAAGCCATGGCACTGGCCCAACGAGGAATGGCTGGATGGTCTGCCTGAATTTGTATGCTCACTCCAAATGAGTCTACACCAAAACCCTGCATACTGGATGCCTTTATGGGATAGATATAACGTTTGTCCTTGCTAGTTTGACAGGCAAAATAGAGAAAAAGTGGAATCTTTCTGCTTAAAATTGTGCATCTCTGATTAGCAGTGACGTGTGGGAGTTTTAAGTGTGCTAGATGTTTTGCTTTTATTTTCTGTAAGTGCCCTGAGTTTTGCCCTGTGTACTATTCTTTTTGGGTATTTGTCTCTTTTGGTTTTTTTGCCACTGTTCTTTTTTTAAAAAATATTTATTTTTATTGGAAAAGCAGATACACAGAGAGAAAGACAGAGAAAAGGAGACACAGAGAGAAAGATCCTCTGTCCGCTGGCTCACTGAGCCAATCAGAAGCAAGGATCCAGGAGCTTCTTCCAGGTCTCCCATGCATGCGTGCAGGGTCCCAAGGCCTTGGGTCACCCTTGACTGCCCTCCCAGGCCACAAGCAGGGAGCTGGAGCAGCTGGGACACAAACCATTGCCCACATGGGCTCCGAGCACATGCAAGGAGGGGACTCTAGTCACTAGGCTACTGCACTGGGCCCATCACTGTTCTTTTTTGTATAGTGCAGATATTGAATCCTTGTCTCTATAGAGCTTACAAGTACTTCGCCATTTTGGTTTTTGTTTCCGTCATCTTAACATAGAGGATTTCATTTTTTTTTTGTAGCCAGTGCTATTTTAAAAGGTTATTTATTTGAAAAGCAGAGAAATGGAGAGAAGAATAGATTGAGGAGAGCAACAGGATAGAAAGATAGCCCCTCCATCCGTTGGCCAACTCCCTAAATAGCTGCAACAACCAGAGCTGGTCAGGCTAAACTCACGAGCTTGAGACTCCATCCTGCTCTCAGAATGGGTGGCAGGAGCCCAGGTACTTGAGCCATCTTCCACTGTCTCCTCAGGAGCATCAGCAGGAAGCTGGATCAGAAGCTGCAGAGCCGTAACTTGAATCAGTGTTCCAGGGTGGGGTCCTGGCACTGCAAGTCGTGGTATAACCCGCTATGCTGCAACACCAGCCCCGGTGGCAATTCTTCATGATCGTCCTTTGAAATATCTTCCCTAGCTCAAGATGAAGCTTCAATTCATATTTTTTTTTCCTTAAACGTTTAACCTTTCTTCTAACATTTATGCCTTTAATCCTTTAGGAATGAAGCAGCATAGAAAACTTTCTTTTTTTAAAACTGTTCGTCAATTTTGATTACATATTCTGGCACTACTGCTAGTGTATGGGAAATCCAGCGGTTTAATTTAATTTAAAATTGACAAGCTTTCTCAGATTTGGAGTTGCCACTCTGCTTTTTAGGTAGATCATCCTCGCCCTCCCTGACACACCAGAATTTAGACTTCGTGGTTCACTTCTTTCATTTCTTTGGCTCTGACTTCTAGGACAGCCTTAAATAACAGTATGGATTTTTTTAAAACCTTTCCTGTTTTCTTTTTAATTTTACAAACGTGGCTTCTTTTTTTGTTTTTTCTACTGTCGCCACAACTCTGCGCCCTGCGGAGCCTTTGGGTTCCTTGCCTTTTGAGTACCCCGTGAAATCAGAGGCTCCCATTGGCCGACATGGTCTGGGATGGCCCCGGCTTGGGTCTCCCTGGTTGTGAACGGAGGAGCTGAGCACACAGTTCAGGAGGGTTCTGTGAACGTCCCATCCCTCTTGGTGACTGCCGTGAGTCCCCCACTGTGACCCTCAGGGCTACTTGAAAAGCCTCTGAGTTCTCCTGGCTGAACATCTGCTGGGACGCCACTCTGCTAAGTTAGCCTGCGGTGGTCTGAGAACCGGCAGCTTACCTTCTGTAGAATGTCTCGTGTGTTACCTGGCTTGTAGCATCAACTGCAAACTGAGGTGCCGTCACATGGTGCTTAACTCTGGTTTTCAGAGGTGCATTGCTAGGTGATGTTGTAACGTGTACTTAGCACCCGCCTGGGCCGTATGACAGACATAAGAGACAGCTCTTGCTTCTAGGGCACGGTGGACAGAGGACACAAGCTTAGGTTGAGCAGAGGAGACAAGGAAGCAGTCGTGAGTGGTAAATGCAGGATTCGTGATTCTGCGGCCCACGCAGTGTGGCAGACTGCTTTGCAGTAAGGATGTTAAGTGCATGACGCAGTAGCATAGATGGTTGGTATGCTTATCAGGAATCGCACTGCACCTGCTTGTGTGTACTGCACTCTTTGATGACTGGCAGCAGAACAGGGGTGTGTGTGTGTGTGTGTGTGTGTGTGCGCGCGCGCGCGCGCGTGTGTGTGTGTGTGTGTGTGTTAGCACCTGCAGCTGGACCTGGCCACAGAGTCGCAGCCACAGGAACCTCACAGCTCTGTCTTTTGGAGGACTCATTGGTGACTTTAACTTACTTAGAGCTCATCTGTATTCTGGAGATACAGAGGAGTTTGCTGTTCAAGGAATGGTCTGAAAGCTGGGGTGCTGGGAGAGGAGAAGCAGGGGAGACAAGGGTGTGACTGACTGTCCCACACCTGGAGACCCTGGAGGAGTCTTCCTGCAGAAGGCTGCTTGTTGCTGCTCCCTCTGCGAGACCCCTTGAAGGACAGACCAGCTCCCATTTGACCTCAGCTTAGAATGAGGTGTGGGGGATGTCCATATAATGCCTGCAAAACCATTTTTCTGGCCCTGCCAAGGCAACCACAGGTGGGACTCAAAATTTAGTAATTCTATAGCAGACTCATTTAAAAAAAAAAAAAGATTTATTTATTTTCATTGGAAAGTCAGATATACAGAGAGGAGGAGAGACGGTGAGAAAGATCTTCCATCCAATGATTCATTCCCCGAGTGAGCACAATGGCCGATGCTATGCTGATCCGAAGCCAGGATCCAGGAACCTCTTCCAGGTCTCCCACACAGGTGCAGGGTCCCAAAGCTTTGGGCCATCCTTGACTGCTTTCCGAGGCCACAAGCAGGGAGCTGGATGGGAAGTGGAGCTGCCGGGGTTAGAACCGGTACCCATATGGGATCCTGGCGCATTCAAGGCGGGGACTTTAGCCGCTAGGCCACACCGCTGGGCCCAATCAGACTCATTTTTAAGTTGGCCAATTTTGTCTGGTAGACAGGTGATGTAATAAGTATCCCATAGGTCCCTGGCAGAAAGATTCCCAGTTCTGCCTTAACTGTGGACAGCTTCCCCGGTGATTTCGTGAATGTAACAGCCTGGAAGAGGCTGTGGTTCTACCTGGCTCGTCCTTAAGAAGGGTTGCCCCGAGGGGCCACCTGAACCCCCAGGCTCTGAGCAAGTTGGATTACAGTTCAGGGGATGCCTGATGACAAACGCCAGAGGGGATTTAATCAGCAGGTGGGGTCTGGGACTGCATGGCAAGTTCTGGCTATGGAAGGAAGGATGGTTGTTAGAGGAGGACAACGCTGGTCACAGACCCCTGGGAGACCCCCGTTCTCCCGAGTGTGTCCCTGTGTCCCCGCGGGACTCCCTGTCCCTGGATGCTATGCTGCTATTGTCTCCTGTACCCCAAGGCTCCTCTCTAATCACCTCCTGCCAGTCTCCAACTCTTCCCAGCCCGACTTCTTACACCCCAGATCCTTGACCTAGGGTTCCTGGCACCTGCAAGGATGTCGAGTAGCTCCTTCCTTGCTGGTGGCATGTCTCCAAGCCCTGCACTCCTGGCCAGCTCCTCTGCCCCTCTTTCACAGGGTCATCCTTTCTCCTCCCATCTGTTTCCATTTGTGCAGCTAGATTTGGTATTGTTTGCTATGCCATAGAATGTAAGAGGTTTCTTAGGAGCTGTACGTACTGAAAATTCTAAATGAATATAATTAGATTGGACCACTTTTCATTCTCTGATAGAACCCGAAACCTAAAAATATTTCATACTCAGCTAAATTTGTTTTTATTTCACTAAACAAACAATGGGGGCATGAGTTTTAAAGTACTGTCTATATTATAGGTTGTCAGGTTTCCCTGTTTGAAAGTCTTTGCATTCATCATCAAAGCATCAGAGAGAGGGACCCAAGGGACGATAGAAATCTGAACACCCACCCTGGTTGGCAGCACCCCCTTTGAGTCTGTCTGTGGGCCCTGCGATACTAACCAGACCCTTCTTTTCTTTTTTGTTGTTTATCGCTGTTATCTGTGTGTGCCTGGAAATCTCAGGATGAAATTTTGACCGTGATCCGAAGAGTGGATGATAACTGGGCAGAAGGAATGCTAGGGGACAAGATCGGGATCTTCCCCCTACTCTATGTGGAGGTAAGTACACCAAGGCCCTGGCACTGGGCCTGGCCTGGCCTTGGCCTCCTCTTGATATGAACTGGGCCCTGATATTCCTCCTTGGTGAGCCCTAGGCAGTAAGTGCCATCTACAAACAAACACACAGAGCTCTCCTGACCAGGGCTTGCTCCACCTGGTGTGCAAAGGATGCTGACTAGGATGAACGGGCCTGGCCATGTCCCAGGATGCCTCTAGCTACATGCTGTTGGCCAAGTCTGTGTTCTTCTCACACCCTTTCTAGCTCCACCTGCTGCTTGGGCCCTGCTGCCCATCCCAGAGCTGCCTCCTTGTTCTTTCATCCTGTCAGTCTCGTGGACATTCTATGCTGGCATCCCTATGTCGTACCTGTGGGCAAATCTCATAGACACCTGCCTGTTCAGTGGCCTGTCCTTGCTGGAACCACAGCCTCCCCTGCCCTGGGGTCCACTTGGGGGACACAGAGCAGAGTACGCTTGGCCTTGAAGAAATCCAGATCAATGGATGGGACCACAGCTACACACACACACACACACACACACACACACACACACACAGGACAAGGTCTTCGTTCCCTGTCTCTAGTCTCAGAAAGGCAGAATAAACTCTCATTGTTTTGGACAAGAGAAAGATTGGGTAACATAGAATGCCTCCTCCCTGCACTTGTGAGGGCCAGGATGCTGCCTTGGAAGTGAGAATGCATTGTAGGACTGTGTGTGAAGGGCTGTGACATTTAGAGGCCCAGCTCTTTTTCCATGAGACTACAGGAGAGCATGCCTGGTGTCTTTCCCAGAGCTGGCCCTCTGCTGTCCTTGAGAACAGAGCTTGTCTCTCTCAGGCCAAGGCACCCCAAAGGGCAGGACCATGAGCCAGCTGTGAGTGGGGAAGTGTGGCCTGGGCTTCAAAAGAGGACCCCGCTAGACCCATGTCACCTCGCGTTAGATGTAAAGCCTCTGGGCTGGACTGGCAACTTCATGAACATCTGTTTCTCCCTCAATAAGGGCATAACCTGGGCCCCCTGTGCTTCAGTCCCAGTAGACCTGAGCCTGGGTACCTGGTACCTGTGCAGTCAGGACTCCAAATCCACCAGTGCTGGCAGCCTGGAACTGCAGAAAAGAATGTTCTGGGTAGGGGAATGGAGCAGGCACAAGGGGCTGGGTCCAGGAAGTGAGGACCAAGGTTAATAGAAGCACTGGTGGCTGGGCAGGCAGTTCCAGAACTATGGACGCATCTATCCAAGCTTTTTATGATTAGGTGGTGTTGAGAAACTGTTGATTCCATTTATGTATGCCAGGAAAAAATAATGGTGACAAAACCTAAAAATCTAGATTTAACTGCATGATGCTAGTAATGCATCCCAAAGCAGCCTGAGTGAGCATTGACAGGTGCTTCCCGTTTGAGAGTCTGTGTCCCCAGCACAGTAACTGCCATGTGCGTTGCCTGCAGTGTCACTCTGAGCTGCAGTCTTGAACTCACTGTGCGCACTGAACAGTGCCTCATTGCTTTGCTTCTCATAGACTGTTTTTTTTTTTCAACTTGTATGTCTAAATGAGCTGCTCAAGTGTTTGGTGAGAACTAATGGGCACCTCGCAGCTTTTTTGGAACGGAGAAGCTCTGAAGTCATTTTCAATCTTCCATGTTCCCTGATAGTCTCCAGCTGTGAACGTCTTGTTCCTGAATGGATTTGCCATCTTTCATGCTCATTATTTCTGCAATGTTGTCTTGGTTCTTCAGCCCCTATCTGAAATATACAGTAGGCGTTTGTGAGGGAAAACCTACTGTACGTGCAGATGGCTGAACTAGATTGAAGTGGTGAATTCATTAGGAAAATTGAAGAGGCTGAGAAGTCCCATTAAAAGGCCCCATACAGGCTGGAAAAACCAGAAGATCCATAGACTTGACTCAGTTCAAGTCTGGAGGTCCAGTGAAGCCAGTTCAAGGCCGAAGACCCAAGAGCTCAGATGAACTACTAACGTAGTCCTGGCTTGCCCTGGTTGGACAGCCTGGAGTCTTATGTTGACCACAAGAGGAAGAAAGTGTCTTGGCTCCAGGCAGGACAAGGGAAATCATTTTTTTTTCTCCTTTCTTGTTGTGCTCAGTCCTCTGCTGATTGGATGGTATCTGCCACTTGGAGTAGGAGTCTTCTCCACCCAACCCACTGTCTCTGGCAAAACCACAGCCACGCGAGGGGCAATGCTTGCCAGCTTTCTCAGTGTCCCTTAATGCAGTCAGGTTAGCACCTAAAATCAATCATCCCAGGGCATAACTTGTTCACCAGGTCCGTGAGAGAGGTGTCACAGCAGTGAATTTCCTGTGAGCTTCCTCTGACCCTGGTTTGTAACCATGACCAAGGTGGGCAGGTGTGAGATCCTACAGAGGGACCACCCAATGTCATCAATTCCCCCTCTTTCCCAGGACTTCATTAGCCTCCCATAGAAAAACTGTAGCATGTCTGGAAATGAGGCGACAGGAAAGAAAACAGGGCTCTGATGGTCTGCCCAGCTCTACCCCATGGAACCTTCAGGCTCCCAGCTGCCACCTGAGGACGTTGAACAAATGGATTTTCTCCCTCCAAATAGGCAGATAGTGCCCTGTGGTAGAGGATGGGGGAATCATGTCAGAGATTCACAGGTAGACACAGCCCATGTGTGTAGTCCAGCATTCTAGAACAAAAAGTGTGGGTATTGTAGCCATTGGCACCTGTATACAAGTGCCTCGTGGGGTGATGGGACACCCATAGCTCCCCACTGAATTCTTAGCAGCTCAGTGAGGAGGACAAGGCCTTTGAGCCAGTGGGGAACTCTTCTTAGAAAAGGACATACGTACTAGTTCCATTCCCTCTTTGGCTATTCTGTGTCTCATTTTAAAAATGTATTTCAAAGAGAGAGCGACAGAAGAAGAAAGGGACATCTTCTCCATTCGTTGATGCCCAAACCAGGCAGGACTGGGCCAGGCTGAAACCCAGAGCCAGGAACTCCATCCGAGACTCCCAAGGAGGTGGTACAGGCTGAAGTATCACAAGTGGAGGAGAGACTCATCCTCCAAGGACGGGATGTGGGCATCCAAATAAGTGTCTTACCCCACGGTGTGGCCACACCCACCCCCCCTCCACTTCTAATAGCCAATTCTGATCAAGTGCTGGCAGACATCTGCTCTGGCATTGACCCAACCTGCTTGTTTCCTAGGGTCCCTTCAGGGCTGCAGAAGTCGAGGCAGTGTGTGGGACTGGGGGCCTAAAAGGGGTGACATGGACACTGTCTAGTCATTGAGGAGCCACAAACACCTCAGATGTCAGGTGGCACTCCTGCCTGTATACAGTTGTAAGATCAGTGGTAGGAAGCTGCATCTCACGTATGCGTACCACTACCCCCATGCCTGTCCCAGGGTTAGGTCTGCTGCTCTGGGCATTGGCAAGCAGCTCATCCCCCACGCCTGTCCCAGGGCTGGATGGCTCCTGTGGGCATTGGCAGACAGCTGCATTCCACAACCCCATGCCATTGCCCCCATGCCTGTCCCAGGGCTGCGTGTGCTGCTGTGGGCATTGGCAGGCAGCTGCATCTCCCACACCTGTCCCAGGGCTGGGTGGCTGCTGTGGGCATTGGCAGGCAGCTGCACTCTTCAGATGGGTCTTATTTACAAGGAAACATGCTTTGAAAATGCCTGCTATAAGAGAATCAAGATGGCAGAATAGGAGAATGACATATTTAAACAGATGGAGAAACATTGCCAGTGTGAGGCAGAGGTGGCACATTCCAGGAAATAGGAGAGGACAGAATGATGGCAGAGGGGCACCTGAAGATTGACAGACACAGGAGAGCAGTAAACAATGGTGTGCTGTTGCAGTGACCGGACACCCCAGTGACATTCAGCGAACAGTGATCTGAACTCCACTGGCAGATGGAAATCCACCAGCAACCAGGTGGGAAGGGCCATTCACCAGGAATTCAGCAGGTGAACCCAGACAGAGACCTGCCATCCTGCTGGTCTGTTTGATTTGACCAGGAGCAGAGACAGAGCAGCAGATCCCGGACAGGCAATGCAGGAACAGGGTGGATTTCACAGCCCAGTCCCATCTCCTACAACCGAATGCGTGCCATTTTGTCTAGAGAGGCAAAGACTATGGGACAATACTGCACATGCACTGAGCTGGGAGTGAACTCATTTATGACTCAGCGAACTGCAACAACATGGCATCCTACAGGTTCCACTCAACATAAGTGCAGGTAGCCCTCAGGTCTGATGGCCAGCAGATCAAGAACTCCACAAGTGGCACATCAGGCACCATTTTGTATGGTGTGGCAAAGGCTTTGAGACTGCAGGAGAACGGTGAGCTGCACTTGTGCTGAGCGGGAAGCGAGCTCACTGAGCTCAGTGCATTTCAGTGGTCCAACAGAGATAATAATATCGATTTTCACATTGTACAGGTCAAAATAGGTCTGTGTGACCCTCAAACCTAACAGCCAACAGGTTCCAGCAAGATCAGCACGCCCAACAACCTAGCCATACAGAACACCTGGTGTCTCCCTAATCCTGGGAACTGCTCTAACAGGAAGTGGGAGAAAGTTTGTATAGACAATGGTGCAGCTTCAGCACGGTTTCACAGCAGCTGGGGCTATGGAGACCATGGTGGAAATCAAACATAAGAACCCAGACCTGAAACTTGCTGGAAGGAATGACACAAGTGACTGCAAACAAAGAGCCGTGTACCAACTGCAATAAGTAAACTCAAACTATAGATCTACAGGTGTCAGAGCTTAGAAACCTGCGCCAAGGAGAAGAAGTACAATATACATGTACGTAGTCCAAGTACAATGACCAAGAGCAAAGGGAGAGACAAAGGCACAATGAATATTACTGAAGACTCCCCTGCAAAAGAGCAAAAGCCTTTGCCAACCTCAGTTAGCTGAAAAAGACATCAAGAAAATGGGGCATATAGAGTTCAAAACACTTGTTATAAAGCTTCCTATCAACAGCGAGAAGCACGTAAAGCAGGCACTCAAGGA